GGAAACGGGATCAAGTACATGAACATGTTTGATGCTCAGGTTAGCCAATTAGTCCGCTTTGGTTTTTAATTGGTGATTATAGGATAAAAATTATCGTTTCCAGGATGTTTAATTGATTATTTAATTGTCGGTGGGATATCCATGCATGTGTGAACTAATTATTTACTACTTCGATATGGGCTGGGCTTGTTTTGGTGTTAACCAAACCCATTTAAAAGAGTTGACATGTGAGTCAACAGACAACAGTAAAGAACATACGTGGAACATACGTTGGTTTTGCCCAATAGTCCACGACATTGACGTAGGATGTTCACGGTTCAAGGATTAGATCGGATGAATTCATTTCTTTACTTTTAAGTTGTCATCGTTCTGATTTATTTTTGGACTTAAACCCACGATTCCTTTGGTTTTTTCTTTCTTTGCCTAATCCCCGGCCGTTTCTTTCTTAAATCAGGGTGCTTTGTACGTTTTCCTTTTTAAGCCACCAATAATATGTATTTACTCTTTAGGAACCAATTCAAGAAATAACTGGTGGCACCCTTTGTTCAGGTTGAGTTGGTTAACTGGTTATGATAACACTTGTCATCTGATGATTGTTCATTAGTTTGTTGTTCTAAGTGATAATAGGCTCCTGTCTTGTCTGTCATGGGTTTGATGAATTTTTTTCTTCCATGTGGTCCCTAAATACGTATGAATTAGTAGCAGGTTATTTGCTTCATTATCCTCTTTTTTTTTTTTTTTTTGGGACAGAATCTAAATCTTCGAATAAATTTATATTAAACTATTGAATTTGTTGCAAAGTTTAATTAAGTTCGTTATCTTGTTGCAATTGGCCAGGGGGCACAACGTGTGATATTAGGAACTTTATTACGGATCCATGTATACATTGCACATATAAATTGGCACTCTGCCGTCATTTCTCCATTAACTGTGAAGACCTGGGCTATATTATGTTATTATAAGATGCTAAAATGACTAAAAAATTCATTGTGCATACGCACAGTGCATGAGATATGTATGCAATTGTCTGAGAAAGAGCCTAACTCTAGGCGTCTGAAGTGATAGTGATGACCCCTTACTAAGTTACTATATCTCTTTAATTCCTCTTGTCTTTTTCATTGAATAATTGGAGGGACTAAGTGTAGTTGATGTGACTTGTGCTTGGTGACAGGCTGGCCATTGCAATAATTCTAGGTTAGCTCTTCCAGGATTTCATTTATGGTTGGATGCAGATGTATGGATGATTAAAGTGAACATATTAACAAGGTCGAAAAAGTTGTAACCCTCGTGTTACTGGAAAAGGATTATATTTCTTACCATAACATAGTAATTTGGCCACAAATTATGGCATTTGAATATTTACTGTCAGTCCTAAATAACTGAAATGTTGCTCTGTCTGAATATTATCTAGCATGCTGGCGTAGCAGTTGATCCATCAGTTGGAAACTTGAGTGCAATCGAATGATTTCATGCCTTTTAACTCCAGGAGATAATTATGATGTGCAGGTCGATGCAGTGCATTCTGCCTTGAGTGCTATGGGGTTCAAGGATGTTGAGATTATGGTTGCTGAGACAGGGTGGCCATATGGTGGGGACAGTAATGAAGTTGGACCTAGCATCGAGAATGCAAAAGCCTATAATGGGAATTTGATTGCACATCTGAGATCAATGGTCGGGACTCCATTGATGCCTGGAAAATCCGTGGATACATACCTCTTTGCACTCTATGATGAGGATTTGAAATCTGGTCCTGGTTCTGAACGGGCATTTGGACTTTTCAGGCCTGACCTTTCAATGACATACGATGCTGGGCTTTCAAAGAGTAGTCAGGTGAGTCTATTAATTAGTTTATTTGAATTTAACAAAAAAAAAAAAGAAAAAGAAAAACCCTTATCAATAATGGTTGAACAAACAATTCTTATTATTCTTAATGGAGCTTTTTAACAATGTTAGTCTGAAGGTTATGTCACGGTGGCAAAAAGCTGAATTACAGTTAGTTACTTAGGTTTCTTATAAAATAGTGGGAAACATATATTACAAGAGAGTAGATGATTATGGAGATGAAATTTTCAAGTCAGCTTTAAGAGATGAAGGATAGTGGAAGCTCAAAGTGATCAAAAGATTTGTCCAGCTTTATGCAGTAAAATCTCTCGTGAAAAAGGTCCTATCGTAAGGCATATAGCGGAATAAGTTCAGAGTAATTCCACCAAAGTAATCACAGTTAAAGACTGCATGACATGAATTGTCAAATATATTTTGAAGCTAAATTTAGCTGCCATAAATCAGGTAGTGTCTCCCTAGCTGTAAAAATTACAAAATCTTGTTACCCATTATTCTTTTAGCCTCAAAAAAACCTTTTTTCTTGCACCAAATAAAGGCCTCCATGAAATTTTGTTCTTAGAAAATGTCCACTTTTTGAATGGAATGATTCATTGGACTATTGTATTTGTAGTAGCTGCCATGAGTTTTAGGGACAAGTAAGAAGGCTACTTGAATTCCTGAGTGGCATTTATTGTTTAGTAAGTGACGTTCTTATCTACTTTTTCTATGTTCCAGACTCCATCAACTCCACAAAATCCTGTAACTCCAGTGACGCCACAACCAAAACCAACTGCATCTGGTTGGTGTGTGCCAAAGGCTGGTACATCTGATGCTCAATTGCAGGCAAGTCTAGACTATGCATGTAGCCAAGGCATTGACTGCGGTCCAATCCAACCCGGAGGTGCCTGTTTTGAACCAAATACCGTCGCATCCCATGCTGCTTATGCCATGAACCTTTACTACCAGACAGCTGGCAAGAATCCATGGAATTGTGATTTCTCGCAGACGGCAACACTAACCTCCCAAAATCCTAGTAAATATCTACACTCCTGCTATATTTTCAGTTCTACAAAATATATGTTTTCCATTAAAAATTGGTCAGTTTATGGTTTCAATAAACACATATTGTTTGACAAGGTTGCTGATGTTGGTGGGCAAATGAATAATTCTAGGAATCAAATACTGTCCACTTTTAATAATGTGAAAAGATTTCGAGGAATAACCCATGGAAATGGATTTGTAGTAAAGCTTATCCTCTCTTTGTGGTATTGCTGGTATCTGCACCATAGTTAAGCATCGTTAAGGAGTCCTAGCTACAAGGGTATCCTTACCATCACTTTGGAATCCGGAGATTATGAAAATTTGATATTTGTGGTGTGTTGCTGCCTTATCATTTAGAATAAGTTCAGTGATTCACATGAGAACCAATTATACCTTCCCTTATCTCAGTATCCATACATTTCTCTACTTTTTTGAGTGTTTGTTCTTTTTCTGAATGGAAATTTCCTCTTATTACAGGTTACAATAATTGCATCTATGCTGGTGGGAGCACCTGAAAAGCCAGATCAAGGAGATTTGAAATTGAACAAAGAAAATGAATTCTTAAATAAAGGGTGTGGGCCATGTGTACCAGTGTGGGTCTTGGTTAAAAAGTTTTAACTGTAAAGTCTTCCCTTTTGGTCTGGATGCATTAGGTGTAGCGTTTCCCTCTCTTTCTAATATTTATTTGATCTAATAAAGTTAGGGATGGAAAATTTCTGGATAAAGTGCAATGATGTTGAGTGAAACTTTAGTGGGCAAGAATGGGGTCCTCCGTGCTCCTTGCCATGTCTATGTACCATGTTTTCAAGCATCCAATTATATATAAATGTATTATAGTCAATGATTTTGGCATTTTCTACGCCCCCAACTGCGGATTCATGTCAAGTTTCAGCTGATTTTCTTAAACCTGTGCTGTTGAGAAATTTCAAATAACATTGATTATGGAGTTCTGCGCCTTTGGTCAAAATCATGTCTGCATGGCTCTCTTTCTCTCCTGTCTCTCTTCAATGCAGTAACGTTTGGAGGATGTATAGTTTCTGTATGTGAAAATGGATTTCCAAATCCCAAGACTTCAAAAATGGAACTGGCATGGCACTTTTGTTTTCTGGTGAAAAAAATTGAATGAAACATGTCCTGAAAACTCTCAGGCCGAACGCTATACCATAATTTTACCGTTGAAAGTAACCAGACCTCTGAACTGTTTGTGGTCCAGGAGACTAAAAAGTTGACGAGCCAGTGTAGTTAACACCCGTTGGTAACCTCCTTTAGGTTTTTTTGTTGAATTTGATTGATTCTTATTTTTAAGAGGCACAACAACTCCAATCTCCGTTGTCGTCCAGTGGCTAGGATGTCTGGCTTTCACCCAGGAGACCCGGGTTCGATCCCCGGCAACGGAATGATCAGCCGCCTGTTTAACCGACAGCTACTTTTCACTGTCATCACAGAGATTTTGTTCTTTTTTTTTTTTTATGATCACAGTCAAACTCTCGTATTTTCTACCTAAACATTTGGAAATGGCGAAGACTAAAAGAGAGACTGGCCGGTGCAATCTGGTACTGCGGCAATGGCAAGAAAATATTCGTGCTGACAACCATTTGGAGGCAGGGCCTGCCCTGTCCTGAATATAATTATCTGTTAGGCCACTGCTTTAGACCTTTTCAAAGCTTACATATAATACTACAATGTCAACTCCTCTTATATGCTGTCTCTAGTTTATTTTAAGATTAGCAGCAACAACAACTACTACTACTACTTCTTCTACCATTATTTCTTCTTTATTTTTATTCCCATGAAAGCAGAATGAAGGACTTCTTCTCCTTACGGCTTGACTTTCAGACACTCTTCTTCGTTTTTTAACAATTTTTGGTATGTCAAAATCAAAGGAAAAACCAACCCCTTTAACCCTTTGGCTTCACCTTCGACTTTTGAAGGAAAGAAAATTTACTTTTCTGCTTCGGTTTTTGTTTTTCACATGGGACATGGGGGAGGAAACACAGAATTTAACCAGGTGAAGGTGAGGGTGAAGGAGAAAAACAGAGGAGGGGGTCCCAGCAGAGATCCACGTGGAATAACGGGTGGGCCCGACGGCGTCAGCCAAACTCAATCAAAACCTTACCCAGCCTACCAAAAACCTCTCTCTTTCTCTCAATCAGAATCTTACAACCATCACCTTCACGGGCTTACTATAAAAATCCCCCCTTTTCCTTAAATTAAATTAAATTCATCAGGCTTTCTCTCCCTTTCTTTCCTTCCTTCCTTTTATTTTTGGGGGTTTTTTTGGGTTATTTTCCTTTTAATTATGAATCCATAGATGGAGGCCTTGATTTCACAAGCTCAGAGGAAAGAATATTACTTAAAAACTAATAAAAAATGGTCATTTTGAGTAAAAAGTTTTGACCCAAAAAGAGGAAAACAAAAGAGAAAATGTCAGTTGTGGAGCTGAAACAGAGGCTCTCGGCGGCGACGGAGACAGTGAACAATCTAAGAGAGCGATTGAGACAGAGACGCCTACAGCTGATCGACACTGATGGTAACAATTTTTCAACCTTTTTCTTTCTACTGTTTTTATTTTTATTTTTTAAAGGAAATTTGGTTCTGAGATCTGTTTGGGTTTTTGGTAAATTATGGTTAGTCGCCGAATATGCAAGGTCGCAAGGGAGGAGTCCAGTTACTTTTGGCCCAACGGATCTGATTTGTTGCAGGACCTTGCAAGGTCACACTGGCAAGGTATTTCTTTAGCTTTTTATTGCAATTTTTGAAATTGATGATGTTATTTTGGTAGCTCGAAGAAAGGGAAATTTGCTAACTAATTATTTGAAATTGAATTGCTTTGGGACATGGGTTTTTCTTCTTCTCTTTTTTTTCTCCAAGGATTTAGGTTACAGAGATTTCTAACAAAGTGCAGTTCCTTGTTTTTTTCCTTTTCCTTGCGAATCTCTTCACTACATAATTTGCAGATGAAGAGATTTCATGTTTTGGTTTTTTGGCTCCCCAATACTTAATTAGCTTCCCGTATAATATGATGTGTGGTAAGTTCATGTGTATGTGTCTGTCTCAATTGGTGAATGAGTTATCTTTGTGAACTTGCATGTGTATTTTCTCCCAGGAAAAAGGAATACTTCTTGCTATGTGGATAACTGATAACAAGAAATGCTTTGTGGGAAGACAAGAAAGGGTGGTCTGGTTTGTTATAGAATCTAGTGAGAACTGGGAAGTGAGGCCCCTAGAAGCACGCATGTTTTTCCCTGGTTACTTGCTGAAATGGGAACAAACAAGTTGCTAAATTAAAGCGAATAGGGCATTTTAATTGTTTTGACAAATGTGCAAACCCTTTATTACTGCATGATGAAACATAAAATCAACTAAAGTCTCATTCAATTGTAGATCACTTGTCATAGTGCCGACTATAGATAATGTGGTCTATTTGAATTTAATTTCTAAGAAATATGCAGGTATACTCATTGGATTGGACTCCAGAAAGGAATCGAATTGTCAGTGCATCTCAGGATGGACGCTTAATTGTGTGGAATGCTCTAACAAGCCAGAAAACTCATGCCATAAAGCTGCCTTGTGCATGGGTTATGACATGTGCTTTTTCTCCAACAGGTCAATCAGTTGCCTGTGGTGGTCTGGATAGTATGTGCTCTATTTTCAACTTGAATTCACCAACTGACCGGGATGGAAACCTACCAGTATCAAAAACCCTTAGCGGGCATAAGGGCTATGTTTCCTGTTGTCAGTATGTTCCAGATGAAGATATTCACATTATTACTAGTTCTGGTGATCAGACATGTGTTCTATGGGATATAACCACGGGCCTCAGAACTTCTGTTTTTGGGGGAGAATTTCAATCTGGACATACCGCTGATGTTTTAAGGTAGTTTAGTTCTTTTAAGTTGGTTCAAAGTTTATGTTGTTATCAGCCTGTTTTTAACAGAAATTGTGTCCGAAGAAAATTCTTTCTCTGGTATCTTTACAAGATCATGCCAATGTTAATCTAGAAGTTATAAGAAAAAGTAGTGGAGTTTGTGAATTGACCCTGGCTCTGATCTAGTTGGATTACCACCTGAGTCCATTGGTTCTCATTTATCAAGTGTTCAATATTTTAATAAGTGGGCTGGGTATGAAGTTGATACAGAAAAGTTTCCATTAATATAATGGTTTTTATATTGTCAACTGCAGGTCATAACCCTCAGGAAGCCTGAAGCTCACTTTCTGTATTTAAAATTGCATCTGATTGATTTATTTTCCTTTTTTATTAGTCATATGATGGACCTATGTCCAGTGATATTCATGTTTATAGAATCTTCCTGTGAAAGATAATAAGGCCGTTTTACAATGTTATATTCTTCTTTCTTTCAGTGTCTCAATTAATGGATCAAACTCAAGAATGTTTGTTTCTGGTTCGTGTGATGCAACTGCCCGATTGTGGGATACTCGTGTTGCAAGTCGAGCAGTGCGTACATTTCATGGTCATGAGGGTGATGTTAACACTGTGAAGTTCTTTCCAGATGGCAATAGGTTTGGAACTGGATCAGATGATGGAACTTGCAGGTTGTTTGACATCAGAACTGGTCACCAGTTGCAAAAATACTATCAGCAGCGTGGTGATAATGAGGTTCCACATGTAACCTCCATTGCATTCTCCATATCTGGAAGACTTCTTTTTGCTGGATACTCTAATGGAGATTGCTATGTGTGGACACCTTATTGGCAAGGGTACATAACCGTCATCCGCCCCCCCCCCCCCCCCCCCCTCTTCCCCTTCCCCTCTTCCCTCCTTTTTTCCCCCTTTTCATCTTTTCCAGCCGTCTGACTTCAGAACTTAAATTATTTCTTAATATCCTCATAAAGTTATTTTTTTCCCTATGAAATTCGATTTCCATTGAATCTTGTGATGTTTTGTTAATTATAGACACTAAGCAGTGAAGTGCTTTTGTTGCCTGAGTATGTCTTTTACTTTAGCCTTACTTTTGAGCTCGGAACCCAACACTTCAACTTTTGCTTTGCTCCCACTCTTTCTTCTATTTGCAAATAAGCATGAGCTCAAATAATTTATAGCTGATTCCACTATGGCATATAATCAGCACTGGTTCTCATCACCTACTCTTTTGGCAGGTTGTTTTGAACTTGGGATCTCTCCAGAACTCACATGAGGGCCGGATTAGCTGTTTGGGTTTGTCAGCTGATGGTAGTGCCTTATGTACAGGAAGTTGGGATACAAACCTCAAGGTTAGTCCATGTCTAAATCCAGCCCTGCCATTTCATCAAATGCATTTGCAACTTTTGGAATTGAAAAACCAACCCTCTCTACTCGTCTTCTCTGTTCTTTTTTTTTTTTTTTCATTTTCTTTTTAACTGAATCTAGTATGTCTTGATATTAATTGAAAAATGAAAAATCAGAATTTGTGCAAAGTGTGATGTTCGCTCTTGACATGGCAGATTTGGGCATTTGGAGGGCAAAGGAGGGTGATTTGAGTCGTAAGAGAGGAAACTTTTTCCATATTGCAAGTCCTCTGAATCTCAGGCCCCATTCTTCCTAAAGCAGTGGTGCATTATATCCTATGTGGAAGATTCCTCTGTATTTCAATCATGTTGGAGGTTTGGGAAACCATAATCTTGTACTGTTGCTTGAACTTAGATGTGGAAAAGCCAATTTGATTAGTGGGTAAAGAGAGATTAAAGGTAGCGTTGCTTGAGAACTTGTATTGCCAGAAAGGTTCATTTGCATTTTGTTAGCTTTGCCTGATTGTGATTACTAGTTTTTCTTTTTTCCATAGTAACCAACTCAATTATCGACTTTGATTTTCCTTCCCCCTGTTGTGTGTACCATTTGTGTTCATCCTTCTAAAAGGCTGACAGATTGATATAGCTCAATGCCGTTGAGGTAAAATTCTTTATATTTAAGTATGTTCCTATTACCTGCGCCCTTGGTCTACTTGTTCTTCCAGCTAAGGGATTGACATTTTGTAACAGATAAAAGGATTATAAAAGACGGTTTTGGTTTTTCCTCTTTTAAAGACGCAGTCGTTCCACGCACATCCTAAAAATCAAATTATTCCATCTAAGGGTGCACCTTTCACCTTCGTCCCGCCCCACCACCATTCTGGGATTAATTATATTTTTGTCCTACCACTTCATGAAAGGATGCGTCAGACAAAACGAATAATCAAAGTCTGAGGGTGGCGTTGTTCGGTTCGGAGATACGCTTGTTTTGATTTATGTAAAATGTATCGACACAGCTACACGCGTTTTGAATTATGTATAACCAACGATGCGGTTTGCCGATGGCATCTAATATTGGATTGGGGCAATCATTTTATGGGGAAACTTGGGCAATGCAAAGCTCGGCAACTGCCAATAATAGTAATACCATCATCACAACGCCTAGTCCTAACTTCACACTGGCACACAAAACTCTTCAAATTTCCACTTCCTTGAATGCTAATTACTACAAAATTAACAAACGTTCTTTATGCCAACTGACAAGTAAAAAACGCACCTCAAAATTCATAAATGTAAAACCAAGCATAGCTTGATGGATCCTATACTTAAATCCCACATAAGAATTTTGGAAATTAAAAATAATAAAAAATAATAAATCCCTCCTATGAGCCTGACTTGCATGATACACAGTATTATTTTCAGATCAACAGATGACCAGACAAATGCAAGTGAACCGAGAATAAGGGCCATGCAATTCTTTCTACAAGCTTATCTATTTTGCAGCCATCTGCCTCTGATCTCATATAAAACCACAAAAAATTTATAAAAGCCTGTAGGCAAAAACAAACAATTAACAACCTAGCCGCTAGCTACAATCTCATGAATGGCATCACTAACAGCTTCATCCTCAGATCTAACAGCAAGTTTCATTGCTACATCCTTCGGACCATCAATTCCAAATTGCAACCTCACAAGCACCTTCACATTGCCAATGTATACACCAGATAGTAGACAAGTGTGTGACCTTGAATTGCTAGGGACAACCTCCGTGCCCTGTACATCACCAGAAAATAAGTGGAAAGGATTATCAAATTACACTGGGATTGCACTGAAAAAACAATTGACAACATGGTACTTGACAGTCCAATGTAAGGCAGTTAAAAAAGTACAGGTAAAACGCATATCCATAGCAACTGCATAGAGCAAAAAAAAAAGACACTGTATACTTACCTCACAGGGTTGCATGCCAAGCAGATTTATGACAGCATTGACAGCTTCAGCCAGGCTATCCCTTGGGCCAAGGCCATATTCATCTACACGCTCACAATCTGCACCCATGCTTTCCCATGCATTCCTGAAATTAGAGACGCCCACCTTCAACATGTAATCAGCTGCGACAACTTCAAGATCCTCCAGTTGGTACTCATCCTCCACTCCATCTTCCTCAGCCTCACCAGTACTTGGATCAACCTAACCAAACCAATGAAAGCTTTAGATATGAGAACCACCTTAAATGTCCAGTTCTTTTATGGAAAACATACTGTCTATAGCATATTCTCATGCAACTTAAAACTCCCTGAGAGACAGGGCGGTGAGGTGTAAATGAGATTTGTTCGCAAAAAGTGTTATCATTCAGAAATAAATTATACCTGATGCCTGACCATTAACACATTCAAATAATAGAGAATCAGAAAAAGCTGCACACTCTACCAGAGCAGAAAAAAGAGAAAGCCATACCTCTTTTACAATGAATCTCAGCATATTTGAAAACTTTCCAACAGTAGGGACCCCCTCTGGCTTCTCAAATGCCACAAAGGTCTGTCCAGGTGAATCATATGGAAGTGATCTTAAAGGCTTCGTAGCTACTTCAGCAAATTCCTCAGCCTCTGAAGCATCCACAATAACAGTGACCTGGCAACAGGCAGATTAAGTTATCCAAATAGTCTATCATAGGTCTTTAGTAATTTAAAGATGCTTCATATAATTTGACCATTACATTCTCCAATAATTGTTCTGGAATGGTATTGGTGCAGTTGAACTGAAACACAACATGACCATCAAAAATATGTTTGACAACATTAACTGCATACTCTGTTTCTGCTTCTGTCAGCTCCACAGGTGCAGAGGACTGGCCAATAAAAATTAGAAAGAAGGCATTAGTAAGTTCCAAATCAGAATAATGCCTAATCATTATATGCACGGAACACACAAGGAAAAGTCAACGAAAGTACCTTGAAAAGCTTGCCAAAGTTTGCAAACTCAGGAATGGATGAAAGCAGCCTTTCATAAGCTTCAACAGTTGATGGCGGGCCAATAGGAGGAGCAGTAAGACCAGTTGGCTTTTTACCTGGAGCTTTCTTCTCAGCAAGTGGCTGAGTCTTGACCTCCTTTGGCACAGAATCAACGTCAAAAGACTCCTCTGATGGTTCCTGTACCCAAATTAAATACATGAGATCATGACCTAAAAGGCAGAAAAAGTGTAACAGAAATTTAGAAACTTACATAATTTTTCAAACTGTTCTCCAAGTTCACCAGAGGTATATCTAGTGAACCAAAGAGAAACTCCTTTACATCTTCACCAGTTTCAACAACTGCACCATCGCCACCAAGTGTATTGAGATAGAGTGTAGCCCTGTCACGAACCTACAAACAAAAGATTTAAAAAAACCTTAAAATATTTGAATATCAAGAAAAAAAACAACACGTTTCACTTCCCAAGCTCAGGATTAAGAATGCAACTAAAAACGAAAAACAAATGAAAGGACAACGATGCAAGCATCAGTATATGGAACAATCGTACAAATGCAAACGAAAATTACATGTCAAACAGTAACAAAATATATGAGATTATTAATGATAGACTGACCTCATCATCATTGTCAAAGAGACAGCGTCTTAATAGAACAAATATGCGAGGCTGCAAGAGAGAGTAGCACAAGATTTTCCAGATTAAATAAGTGATCAAAGGGTCACAGGTTGAGATTACTTCAGAAAAGTGAAGGAGAATATTTAAGATTTCATACCTTCAATGCATCAACCATAGCACCAAATTTTGCTAGGGTGCTCACAGCACCAGCACGGACAGTTGCATTCTCAAGATGCACACGGTTATAAATGTATCGTATATATTTGCTTGGATCTGAGGTTTTTGGGCCTTCAATCCCCAGAAAGTGAAGTATCTATAATACAATGTTGAGACAAATATAACACAAGTCAAAGATGGGAGAAAAAAGGGGAAAAAAAAGAGCATAAAGCGCATGGTAGAGGTGATGGAAAAAAATGCTAC